GTCGTTCTATAGTTCAGCTCACTATTTGAGGGAAAGAATACCTTTGTTTAAAGCACAGACAGGTCATCGAGTGCTAGTGTGTCCATGTCTCCCTTCCCCTTCCAGCAACACTTAACGCGTACTGAGTGCAAACAATCCCAAAGTAATATATCCAAATGATTCAAGATGTTGTTGGATAAAAACGGCTGAAATAGCACAGGGGATATGTGCTGATTGGCTGCTGTAAGCTAACTGGTGTATGGTCTCATAGTGTTCAAGGAAATTATAATAGTATTCCAGGAAATTGTAATGAATAAACTGTTGACCCCAATGCTCAGTCCTCATCTGAAGTACGCATCAATGAAGAAGTATGTAAAGGAAGATCTTTGCACAGTACTTTTATTTCTTAACTTCCCTTTCCCCCAAAATCTGATTTAAAATCTTATTTAGAAAATTTTCTCTTACAGAAATAATATTATCCAGGGAGTTTCTATGCAGTATTTTGAACAATACCGCATATTCAAGCAGAGGCATTAAAGATTACTTAATCAAATATTTAATAAACCACTATGTTTTCTAGCTGGCAAAGCTGAAGAATAGTGGTGCGCTAAAATAATTTACAGAAAGAAAAGCAATGCTGTAATTATCTAAGATGAACACAACAAATTTCAGGTATAAAAGTCTTAAGAAATTGCTCAGTCAAGGTGATCTTTGTTAAATTAGATCTTCATCTCAAAAAGAGCCTTAGGGAGAACATTTTCTCTTTGCCTTTAGAAACTTTTTTTTTTTTTTTTCATAAATCTGTCCATTGATCACTAAACTCTGATGAGGCATGAAGTTAAAATTATTTTCTATATACATTTCTGGATGTTGTCATTAGAATTTGGGAGAGAAGTCCTAGGAAGGGTATTTTATACCCAATTGCACCAGACTATGATCCTTAGATTTTTTTTATTTTTTTTTTCCACCCCAGTCATTGTTTGTATTATTCTAATTTCTTAGAAAAGAGGAGATTTTCATTCTACCCCTGCCTTGGAACTGTAATTGCTAAATTACTAACTTAGGGAAGGCTAAGTATTAAACATGTCTGGTGGGACATTGGTTGTGATGATGGAGGTGAGACCAATGTGCAGGGAAGTAGTGGATTTTAAGAAGGAACTTCCAGAGGAATTTAGAGTTCTACAGTAGAAGTGGTAAAATGTTCCATGTATAGGAATATTTGAAAGCAAGACAGTGTAGAAAAAAAATATTTCAAAGTCTGGGAACCATCTAAGGAAAGAGATGTAAGAAATACTAATTTAATACTAATACTGTTGCATTTCCTTTCATTTGAAATCTTTCCTCCAAAATCTTTCTGGAAATCATTATTCTTGCACATTCATCTTCGCTTTTGGACTGTCTACCTCTGAGCCAAGGTAGAAGTTGGTTGCTCCAAAAGGCTCAATTTGATTATGAATTAAAAAATAAACCAGGCCAATCCCTCACCCCAAACCCAGTCCCTTTGACTAAAGGTACTTTAAAAATATATTCTTATATACATTTTTTTTTTAAATAATTTTTAAACTGATTCTTCCCCAATGTCTGTGGCAGTCTTTTTTTTTTTTTTTTTTTTTTTTTCTTTTTTTTCCTATGTGAATGTCCTTGTTTCTTCTCTGTTCCATAAACTGGAAAAAAGTAGTTCAGTTGTTATCATCGTTGCATGCTACCAACAGTTGGTGCAAAGGTAATGATACTTGTGACGCTGGCATCTCTGCACATTCTTGATGTTTCAAGCATTCTAAATAAAAGTGATAGATACTGTGACTGAGTGGATCACCCAGAGCAATTAACACAGTTTGAACCCAGTAACTCTCATAACTGTAACACGCAAAAAATTTTCATTGCACTTTCTCAAGTACAATGGACATATCTGTTTTTCTTTGGAGATGGCTAAAGTATTTCTGACTAGATGTAAGATACTGCCCTCATGGAATGAGGTTTACTTGACACAAATGTTGAGGGTCTTGAGTTCACAGAACGAGTCTGCCTTGCTGAGTCTCTCAGGGAGGTTGTCTAAGTCAATTGTTCAGCATCACTTTCTACCCACTGCAGGACTCTTCCCTATATGAAATTTCTTTAGTGTTACGACAGGGCCAGTTACAAGTGAAAAGGAAATTGCAGAAAGCACTCTTTACCTGGCTAGGTAGATACTAAGAAGCGTGGAGATTGAAGCAGCCAGGGAATGTGGTGTAGGGATCTGCAACTAAAAGTTGAAGTCACAGATTTCTCAAAAATAAATATTTCCATTTGCTCAAAAAAAAAAAAAAAAAGCACCAAAATGGGAAGAATGAGATACTTACCACACTGCATGAGAAAACCCATCTACATGCAAGACACCATGACAAAACCTCTGCCTACGCAGCAGATTTCATATTCAGGTGACGCAAATCCCGGGGCCCATTTGTGTAAGTTATCAGAGAAGTCTGATGACAATGAGTTTGCTCTTCTGCTATCAGCCTTTCTTAGTAGCTGTTGGGTTCACCTCATGGCTTGAGTTCACATCTGCAGCCCATATGAGGTGGCTAACAACCTCATAAGAATTTGCTCTTTGTATGTAAAGATGAATTGTATACCCTGAACTCTCTTAATCTCTGGATGTTATAAATGTTTGCATGTCCTTGGCACTTGTGTTGCTTTTGCAAACAAGGCCCATTCAGTGCTTGCCTTGAGCAAGGGCACCAGTCTGGGCTGTCTGCATCCATACTCCTGTGGTGTTCCTAGAACAGAGCTCTCCTCAGGGGTGCAGGCAACATCCACACAGCCAATACTGCCCCTATTGGTATCATTGTCCAATGCCTGAATGCCTCTCACTGTATGGAAACCTGTCCTTTGGATAGGTATCTGCCTTTGGTTTCTTTCTTTCTCTCTCTCTCTCTCTTTTTTTTTTTTTTTTGGTATCTTTTTATTTGATCTCATTTTTATTTTAAAGTTACTTTTTTTTTTTTTTTTCAGGGGGCCGGGGGGGGTGTGGAGGGGAGATAATTCATGCTGCTTTATTAGCACTTTGGACTGTTGCATGCCACTTTATGTTGTGTGTTTCCTAGGGGAAAAGGCCATCACCTCACACTAGAAAGAGAACAGATGAAAGGCAGGGCTGCAACCCCATGGACAAATGAGGAAACTGGTGCTCAGCAAGCTTGTGCTTTGCTGAAGCCCCAAGCTACATAAATGGCTCTGCTGGCAGCAAGGGGCTCTCAGTTCCCTCCTCCACTTGTGACATCTCATGGTGGGCAGAGAAGGGACACATGGAACGTGTAACACATGTACAGAAGGACTGTTGGCTCTTGGCATGGCCAAGGATGCATGCAGCACATTTACACTGCTGATGCATTCAGTGGTCCTGCAAGCTGGGTCTTCTGTACTGGGTGGTGAAGTCTGAACAGGCAGCACGCTGACATATACTGGTGCAGGCACTTGGGGTAAGTGAAGGCCAAATGACTGCAGTTTACTCTCTCTCACTCCCTCCCTCCTTGAAACCGTAAAACAGCTTGAATTGTCACAGGAGAGGGGGGAAAAGAGGATACCTTAGCCTCCAGGATGTGCTTTCTTCAGCTTTTTCTGTCATTTTCCTTCCCCCACCAGAAACACTAGAAACTTAATTTCTCCCAGATGAAAGCTGAAGCCACCCACAATTTCAGCAAGTAGGCGGCTAATAAACCCATGCCATGTTGTGAGACTTGCCATAATTTTATTCCTGTTGGTAGCACTACAATTAGTATACCGTGGAACCCAACTCTCCTGGCAGAGATGTGGTGACCAGGTGATGGATATGTTCTCCAAGGGCACAGAACTGCCTGCCCCATTGCTGACATCTGGTCCTGCTTTATATTTTCTCAGGTGCCCACCGCCAATGTGACCAGCAGCTAGTGTGGGAGCGTGTGAGGTTCAGGTGTGCTTTGTTGCAAATTAGTGTGGCTGTGAGGTGGACAAACTCCTTAAGGGTGATTTGACACATGGAAAGCAGAAGCTGTGTCCACTTGTGGGATGGACACTAGGGCAGTGGTGCACATTTTGGTGTTTTACATTTCTTGAGCGAAACTGAGAATTTTACAATATGAAGAACTACTGCCTGTGTAGTGAATTTTCACTCCTCTCTCAATCTTGACCAATTCCTATTTTGTCAGAAAAACCTTCCAGTTATTTCCATGGGCCTTAGATGTCCATACTTACACGTCACCTTGAAGTAGGTCGAAAAACTGAGTCTAACAATCGATCTCATAAATCAGGCAATAAATATGCACTGGGCAGCTGAGCTATTGCTGTTGCTGAATCGTGGTGTCTTACTCGTAGTGCTATGATGTGGTTGGCAGGGATGGATGCTTACAGAGAGGTTTGCCTGCTGTGCTCTTGAAGTCCTATGGTATCGAGCCCTCTAGTGGAAATTTCCCAAATCAACCGGTGCTGCCCCTTTACAAAGCAGAAAGTCAGATGAAGTGATAAATGAAAGAAATGCCCAAGGCTGGGGGAAAAGAACAAAACAACATAAAATAAAGATTAAATGTTCTTAAAATTTACTATATAAAAAAAGATTTTAAATCGATGGTTATGGTGAATGATAAACAGCACCAAAATGCTCATTCAGTGACTTTTGCAAAACCCTCTAAAACACTTTGTATGTATTTATTTATTTATTTATTAAAATTAAAATCACAAGATTGTGTTAAATATTATTTGGAAAGGAAAATATTAATTAAGAACTTCATGAATATTCAGGTGAAAAAGCACTCCCCAAACTGCTATGATTTCGTCCTTAAAGAGCACTTAAATATTTTATTGAAATTACTTTTTATTTTTTCAGTCTTTTCTATTAAACAAATGCAAACAATTTACAATCAAGAAATAAAGTCAGGCTTTGTGCTTTAGCAAGCATTACAGGCAACACCTGCTTCTGGGCCAGAGACATCATGTGCTTTTCATTACCATCATTAGTCATTGTCAGCACATCTTGTTACAAGAGCAAAGCATAAAAGATCAAGACTGCTGGCCCCCCTGTAATAATGTAGTGTATACTGAAGACTTTTATGTATTTTGCATAGGTATAGGACTGAGTGAAATGCTTAGACAGTATCTGAGATGTTAGTTATTTTTAGCTGTCCTAGTGTAGTTATTTAGAATTAAAACTTTCTTGTTGCTGTCACTGTGGTAAGTCTTTGTAGGAAGGCACGTAGTACCCTCAGCAGTGAGCTCCTCTCCTTCTGACCTGGCAGTGTATCCCTGTGCAGTTTCCTGCAGGATCTGTAATGTAATCCTATAGTACAAGTAGTGCTTCCTTGTGTAAATACAAACCTGACAACTTTTGGATAAACCTCTAGATGATATCATACTATCACTATAACATAGCTCCTGCTACCAGTCCCTTGCACAGGTTGCTGGTGGAAGGAGTTATACTCCTGAAATCTGCTACCTTATCAGTTTATGTTGTATTTCCTTCTACCCTCTCCTGTACCTAACTCTAGTGCTTCCTTTTTCAGGTCTGCTATCCTGCAGCTGTTCTGCATCCCCTGTGAAGGCAGAGAGGGGCTGGTAGTCACCATGTTCTCCCATTTGGTGGGCTGCAGTCAGGAAAAAGTGGAGCCTGCTCTACCTAATGACCTACAAAACCCTCCCCTGTTCATGACAAAATCTAAACCTGTGCTTCAGTACTTCTGGTTGCATGGCCAAGGAAGGTCCTCTTGGAGCTGTTCTTTTCCATGTGTTGTGACTGCATCACCAACAACTCCTCTCAAGGTAAGAGTTTCAAGCATTTTTGTTTTCAAATGTATCTATTTTCAGAGTCTCCTTTATGTGACAAGAAAAGAGAAGGCACTAAAAGGAAACATTTATGCACTGGTCAGACAGTGGTAATTCCATACTTTGTGTTCCAGTGCAGAAGGACCATCTTGATAAGCTGTGCCACATGTGAGTTGTGCTTGTCCATGTTGCTTCCTGCAGCATTAGTAAAGGAGATCCATTCTTAAACTGATGTTGCAACTTCATTTTGTGCATAATCTACAAATATTTTTATTCTCTAGATATGTCCTTGTGTTCTGTCTTTGGAGGGTCTATACTTTACTAATTTGGTCTCATCCAGGGGGATAGCATAGAGATATTTTCATTTATATTCCCAAAACACAAACTATAGGCAGAGATAAGTGTGTGTTGGGGGCATGAAGAGGGGGGTGAAAAAAGGGATGGGAAATAAAGGCAATGGTTTGGCACTAGCCCGAGGCTCTGATGACTTGGTATCGCTATAGACTTTTGTTCCCTGGATTTTTAACTCAATTTCAAAGAGGGGGGAGGAAAACATGATTTTAATTCAAAGTGAAACTGGTTCTGCCATTGTCAGACAATAGAGAACTCCACTGCAAGGCATTGTGTATTAAATATTTGAGAATAGTCTGAAGCTTTGATGACTAATTTGCTTTAATATCACAAGCTATGTTATTATCTTGTAATATTTTAGTTTAGATTTAAATCATAGCTGAACTGAAGGCATTTGTTGTGTTCATGGTTTACTAGACTGAAGTTTGGAACTACTGAAATGTATGGAATTAGATCATTCCAGGTACTCCTCACAGAATAAATGTTTGAATTCAGAAGTATTGCCTGAGATCAATGTGTCTATGGAAAAATACTTAAAAAAAAAAAAAAAAGTTCAAAATGTTCCATCATGCTTTGACTTAACCCACTTGTAAGAGATGCATGAGGGCTGTTCCAGTGAGTGGTGCTGATGGAGTTTCTCTGTCTTTGTAGTGAGGATGGTATTTAAAAAATATAGGGATTTATTCTCTCTTGCTCTGCAGACAAATAATGTTTTGTGCTTGTGACTGTATTTCAAGAGAACTATGTTTCCAGAGACTGCTGAATTCAGCTGCTTGTAGAAATTGTGTAAAAGGATGCTCTACAACATGGAGAGCAAAGCGATGTTAGGCAGGATTGCAGCTGGCTTCTTTCTGGTGTTGTTCAGGGACATCTTTCAAGGATGCTTCCATACAGGCAACTGAACATAGCTGGAAGGTGGAGCAGGCTGTTAGCTTTGTAGAGGCTCCCATGCTGTGTGTGGAGAGTTATAGTTTTGTATGTGTATAGCTATGTGTTTATATTAATATGTAAATTTAGTAACGTTTCCATCTTCACCAGAAGGATCTGGCTCAGATAGTGCAGAATTAAAACATCTGTGGGTAGCTCTATTTCCATTAAAGTGAGCATGAATTGCAGAAACATGCTCTGTGTTTGGGACTCAAGTTCAGGGAAATTAAAGCTTAATACCCTGTCTTGGACTGGTCCAGGTAAAGGAAAAATTTTACAAAGTATCACCTTATTTTCAGACTTGCAAAATATGACTTATACAAATTATTTTGCCAACTTCTGTAGTGATGGTAATTGCCTTACTGAGCCATGCAATGCTAAGTAATCAATATTAATTAGTCTAATGACACGTTTGCAGTAAAGAAGAGGGTATGCTGGCAAATAATGCCCAATCTCTTCTATCAATGCTTGAGTAGTGTACAAGAAGTGAAAGCAATTTATGTAATTATGTAGAGCTCCTAAGCAATCAGTCCTGACAGAACATGGTTCTTGGGGGAGTGCTGTTACATGGCTCAAATGTACTCTAAGGCAAGCAGTCATTGCCAGTAACCCAAAGCATCTCTAAATCACCCCAAAATGCATCACCCACAGGATTTTACTCCTATTGAAAGTTTATTTTTTAAAATTAAAGGTTGTACCCTTGCAGTGGACCAGGAGTGCAGTGCAACCTTGGAATTGGCACAGTTCTGTGATTGCCGTGCCTTCTAAAAGCATGTCAACAATGTAAACATCAAATGCTCCCAAGGTTATTGTAAAGTGAACCTGATGTGGGGGTTTTGAAAGGATGGTAAAACTTTGGCTTGAAGTACAAAAACCATTTCAGTTTCACATTTTCTTTTAAGAAGTTTTGGCAAATATTCTTATTGATCAGGAGCATTCACTTACAAGGTTGAGGATGAAAAGCTGCAACATGTTTGTAAGTATAGGTGACAATCCAGTTTTGAAAGGTTCACAACACTTGAATGAGCTATTGGAAGAAACACATTCAAAAATACTAGGTTCTAGACAGGAAAGCTCCGAAGAGCAACTGTGTAGGTAGCTGAAAAAGCTCCAAGGAACAGACTTGATCTGGGCTACTAACACTTTAGCTGAGTAAAGCATGACTAATAGGATTTTTAACAAAACAGTTCTAGACCCTGTTGAAAACTTCTATTTCCCCAAACATGCAAATGTTTTATTTCTTTTCCACTAATTCTAAACTAAAGTTCACTGCCTTGCACTTGGGCTTGTTTGGTGGGAAATAGTTTATGTAGTTCACTTTGGAAACCTTACTTGGATATAATCAGCAGTGAGTCGAACTATTTAATTCGTTAAGCATTCAGCTGTTCTGCCATCCTGGTGTAGAACTGGATGGCTGCTTTTCATGTCTGCTGGGGTGAGAATGTTGGAAAGCAGAATACAGAACTAATTGGCAAATTAGCATATATCAAATTGCACTTGTGGAAGCTGTGAGTAATTTGGATATGAAGGCTGGAAGTAGTTACTGGAGGATGCAGCAGTGCAGAGGGCTGGGGCAGGTTACAGAATCACTGGAGCATGAGGGTGTTCTGGAACTCGGCAGTTGTTGGCATGAGCTTCAGCTATTCTCCATCCCAAGGTACTATATGGCATTATTAAGACTAATAGTCTTCTTCCAATGGCTTTTTTTTTTTTTTGATTAGGTATAACATGACTTTCACTGACTGTGTGTTAGCACAGTATTGATTAAAGGTGTTAGATTAAGAACCTTTTTGTTGAGGAAGGCATTCATGAATTTCTGTATAGCTAGCAGATGGCAATCAGAAGGTGATTGTGTAATTGAAGAATGAGAAAAGATGGTAACTTCTTCCTAGAGCCAGGTTTTATTTTTAGCCTTTATATGAGAACATCTATCCTTTCAAGTTTGAAAGTCTATCCACAACAATGACATAGTAACTCTCTGTCTATTGCCTGTGGAAGCTGTTATTCTGCACTTTTTGACAGAGATAAGTGGAGAGAACTCCCAGCTCATTTAGGAAATATTTCTGCAGAACACATAACTCTAAGGTGATGGGCGTTTTGATGCTTAGGGTGTGGAATTGCAGATGTGCTGTGCTAGATTCTTTTCTCTTGTTTGGGGGATAGTGTAAATCTAACAATGAATGTTGGAAATAGTTAGTAGTATTTACAGAATAGAACTTGTGAGTTTTACTCATTTAGTTGGAATGAAATATGAATAGACTTGTACTAAAGTAAAAGTTTTTGTTATAGAATCTTTTTCTTGTGTAACATTTGCTTGAGATGACTTGAAGTCACCAAGTAAGTTTTTTGGAAACAGCTTTAGTATGTCTTTCTTTTCAGCTTCTGGAAACTCTTATGCTACATCAGTTGTACAAGATGGTAGGTTCTTGGTTAGTTTGAGCATATTACACCAGTATCTTATCTGACTTCCGAGTATGTCTGTATTTTGGTGGTGGAGGTTTGAAGGACAGTGGTGAATGCAATTTCCTTAAAGATTCAACATGGCAATTTAAAAACCAATTTCTCTCCTGATGGATTTTAATGAACCATCTGCTATTTATCTACTTTGGTGTTGACTAATTAGCTTAGTTTCTTAGCTAGAAGCATCTGAGAAAATGAGAATCTTTTTTTTTTTTTTGATGGAGGAAAGTGCTTTGAAAGCTATGCCTCTAAGTATCTCTTTCTGTGCTTGTGATTTTTGTCAGAAAATGAGGTCACGAGTTTTAGGTATGGTAAAAAAAGTTTTGAAGACCTCACCTGGCTTTTTTCTTTTGCAAACTGCTCAGTTTATGTAGTCAAGTAGTGATAAGGATTATATTGGCTGAAGCTTAGTAGATGACTGCTGAGGTGATGCTTTAACATCTTCATTGGTGTTAAAGGGCTTCAGTGTTTGCTAGTGTGGATTTATGAAGAACATTTGAGAGAAGAGTTTAGGGTGTCTCAGACTTCTGTCAGTTTATCTTGGAACTTTTCTTTGAATAGAGGCTCTCAGTATTTCTGGTTTTGATCACCAGTGGACAGAACATATGGATTCCTTGACTTCTGGCAGTGCTTTGGTTATGGGGGCCTATCTCAAGCAGCTCTCATTTTTGTAGTCCTCTGAGGAACTGAGGTGAGAGAAGAATAAAAGCCAATTGCTTTATTAGATCAATTCACTTTTTTCTCTAAACAAAAAATACTGGACATTCTTCAGAAAAGTTTCAAAAGGCTGAATTGCTATTTTGAAGTAGAATCAACCTGTTTTCAAAATAATGCATTTTACAAGGAATTTCAACTGACTGTAAGCTTAGAAGGGCTGGGATATGTTAAGTTTTATGTTTCGTGTGTGAATAAGTTGGAGCTTCTGATTTCTGTTAAAACTGCACTATTTAAATATTAAAACAGGTAAAGAAGGATGATTTGCTACTTAAATGATCATACTGGTTTGTCAGGTACAATCCCCTGGTCTTTTGTTGTGGCAAAGACAGCACAGATGTTCAGTTCACTACTGATGTTTGTCTTTAGCATGACTTTATTCTATATACTGCACTTCATGAAGCATTCAGGCAGACACATGACAAAGTTTCTTAGTGGGGGGAGGAAGGACAGTAAATAGTCAACTGAAGTACTAATGTGCTTCACAGAGATGTGACTTGATGGAGTATAGTTTAAGAAAATGAATTCTTCCTGTGTGGTGTTTTTTCTCCTTTTATGGGACTATTGTGTACATTTGTGACTTGCAGCAAGTTAAAGATTCAACCTTCATGACATTTGCACAGGAAGGCGTACGTGACTACCTGTTTTCTGGCCCTTCAGTTATGTAGGCTTATCCATGCTGCAGCTGAGCAGAGTTATTCTGTGCTGTTTAATGTTTCCCATCTACCACAGCCTGCAACAATCTTGACAGATAGAGGCTTTAGGTGTGTTTTAGTCAGGTGGTGTAGAGCTGTCTTGATACTGTGCTATTATCAGTTAAGATACAATGCATGGGCTAGTCTGCTGTTGCACAGTAATCATAAATCATAATGTCCCCATTACAGGTAAGAAATGTCCAGTTTTGTTTTTGAACAATTAGAAATAGTATCTGAATGCTAGTTGTGGTATTCTATGAGAGTAAAGAATAAGAGGGTTTTAAAAAAAAAAGATTGATAATAGGAATGTTATGACTATGGAAAGATTATCTGGAAATCAGAAAAATTGCTTGTAGAGGATTCTTCTCTCCTGATTTGGAGAAATCAGGACTACAGTAAGCATGTGTGTGCATGGCTATAGAATAATTCTCCTGTCTTGAAAGGAGGAAATTAAACAAAATCAAAATGATGAACAGAAATTAGAAGAGTTATGCAAGAAATGAGAAGCTTGCTATGCTGGTTTGTTCAGAGCAAATGAAATGTATTTTCAAGCTTTTGTCAGAACAATTTCTAATTTCCTCATGCTTTGACATAACTAAGTGTCAAATATTTTTTACTTATATTAGCTATTATATAGTAGTTATCCCTCTTCTTATGGCCTGGGAATGTTGCGTATTTTAAATGGTTAATGCAAACCTGCAATGCCATGTAGATGGCATCTCCAGAGGTTTATGATTCTGGTGTAGGTGTTGGTCTGTCCCTTTGTCAATGTTATTGACCACATAGTATCAAAATGTCCTGAACTACTTTAGCTCTTTTCTTCATGATCTCCTTGTTTCTTTGAAGGAAAAAGGAGCAACTTATATTTTCGGGAGGGAAAATTTTGAGTCCCACAAAAGACAGGGTGCAACTCAGCTGGCTGAGGAGTGGTAACTTAACTGGGATTTCAAGATCTTACAAAAATAAATAGCAAATAACACTCTCAAATCAAGTGCGGGCTGTAACACTTCCAAATGTGTAAAACCGAATGGCCACAGGAGGGCTCCAGAGCCTGAGAAATAAAGATGTGGGGCTGCATCCACGGAGGTGAACTGCGGCGATTGCTGTGAGTGCCGTGCGTTTGCAAATCTGGCCATAACAGTAAGTGGTCAAAGGGGTAAACATGTCCCACAGCCATAGTGGATGGGATCAAATTTTGTTCTCTTCTGCTCCTACTTCCATGGGTCATTCTTTAATTATCTATACTGTGTCCATCCAGATTAGATTACAAGGTCCTTGGGGTAGGGACTTGTCTAAACGATGTATTGCTGTGCACACCTACGACACTGTGCAAATAATTAACTACTGTAATTATCAGTCCAGTAAGGAACCTTATTTTGACATTGCTACTGGCAGTTGCAGTCATTTGAATGTGACTGTCAGCCAGGCTAAGACCTTGAATCTGAAATCGGAAGAGGCTAAGCCATTGTTTACTAACATGTTACACTACCCTCCAGAATTTGTGGGAAAATCAGAATTTTACCAATTAGTCTTTCAACTTAAATGCTTCTTGGGTAAGAATAACCAAATAGCTCGAGGTTCAATGCTTCCCCAGCATGAGAATATGAAAGAACTGGGTTCTAGCCCATGTGCCATTAAATATTTAAAAACATCTATTCCAGATAGGAAGAAATGTAACAGAGGGCTGTTAGTCCTTGGTGCTCAGCAATAGATTAAGTTCTTAGAGGGTTGCTGATCTCCCTCAGTGTATTATAATGGAACTCAGTGTGTTGTAGCAAAGATACTGGCTTTTGGGAATAGTCCAGCCCCTGAGCCTTGGGCAATCCCTGTCTCACTTGTCTCTAGAAGATGTGCCTGTGACATTCCCCATTCTTTTCTCCTAGGTTCCAGAGCTACACTCCTACAGAAATGATGTCCCTTGAGTGCAAGTCAGCCTCCCCAGAACCCTTGGCAGCTCTGCAGAAGCATCAGATCTTGTTACGTTACTTTGGCAGTACAGAGGTCTCAAGCCCTTTCAGAAGGGCAATGAGGGCCTACTGGATACTAAAGGTGTCTATCATCAGAGGAAAGCAGAAGTGACTTTATACCTAGAATGTGCAGAGATCAAACAAGATGAGTGTTGCAGTAAAACAATAAAGGCATGTGTGTGCTTGTGTGTGAATTCATCCTGTTTAAGGGAACAGTAGGGTTTCCTGTAGAAAGTGCTGGTGCCAGCAGGAACTTGCATGGCTATTTCAGGGCAGTGGTTATTCAAACACCAACAAGACTTCACACTTGGTCTGAGATACTAAATTTCATCAGTCACCCTGCAACTGCATGGTACTTCACTGGCAATTTGGAGCTGAAGAGGTCACTCGTTTATAATCACTCTATTCAGAAGGGTAGATGAGCCTGTTGTTACAAGTTCATCCCAGAAGTCACAGGGATGTACTGTAGCTTTTCAGCTCTGCCAGGAAGCAGGTTGCTAGTACTCCCACTCTAAAAATGAGGGCTGCCTGGCTTTCTATGCCCAGAACCAGCTTGTGTGGTGTCCCACTTTGCGTAAAGACCAGAGGTCAGGTTCTACAGCTCTCCTGAACACTTCTACAGTGTTGTTGAACTCAACAAGATCAAATGCTTAGAGCAGAGTTTAGTCCTAAATAGGCAAAAGATTTAAATATTTGAGAGGTAAGGACAAGAGAGGGATTTCTGAAAAGTAACAAAAGGTTGTGAAATTGCTCAGGGATTAAGTTGTTTGAATCATTGTTCCAGCTCTATTAAAAAAAGGTATAAATTCATTTCAATTCTTAGTGGATTTCAAGCTGCCAATTTCTGAGCTTTCACAGCCTTTGATGTGATTCCAGCTTTCTATGATGTAAGTGGATTATTTTTTCCTTAATTCTGAAGAGGCCATTTTCTCTCCCAGCCCCCTCCAGAAAAACATTGCAGCAATCAGGCTAACTAAACACTGATTTTGGTTCATTGTGGGTATTAATCCACTTTGCAGTGCTGTGTTTTTTTTTTTTTTTTTGTATACACCTTTCGAGCATTGAGTGGAAGATGAAGATACCAGTGTTAAATGGCTATTTTAAATAACAATGATCTTAAAACACACAATGGGCTGTGCATTCCAGTTCCAAGTTGCATACATAAAGAACAGTTAATCCATCCTTTAAATACAGCCAAGTTTGGGGTGGAATATGGCAGCTTTTTAGTGTGCAGTGCAGCAAAACATGATAGTTTAGGCTGTAGCATGAGAGATAGTTTATCCAATTGAAAGCAAAAGGAAAATGTGGACAGGAAGATTGCATTATGTACCTGGACTTAATCCAAGACACCTGAGCTGACATCTCTCCTCTAGCTGAAACAGCCCCTAAACCATTTGATCAAAGCAAATGGTCAGGATTGTCTACCTTGTGTAGTGTTGGGCCCTCTTGTGGTACCAGTGTCTTTCCTGCTGACGTGGATAAGCTGGATCACTGCAGATTCAGAAGACCTTAGAAGACTTCAAAAGAATGATCAGTGCTGCAGTCTGTATGTTTTTTGCATGCTAACACCTCTTACAGGAATGATACACCACACAGAAGCTGCTGAAATCACAGCTCACGTGAATGTGGCTCAAGATACTGATGTGTATTTGGGACCAAAAAAGCATAGAGCTCTTAACAGATGCAAGGATAAACTCTGTTTTCTCCTCTGTGGGCAGATTGTAATTCCTTATGTGGCATCTGTTGCCTTTTAAATTATACTTGTAGCTAACATTGCAAAAGCTCTGGTAGAGCATCTGTGAGCAGGGAGGTGCAGAAAATTTCTTGATACTAAGGAGAGATGACAAATCTGGCCATGGGGGCAGTAGACATCCCTTTTCTGTGATTGACACGCACTGTAATACATTGTACTATGATCTGGAACTCTACTATTATCCAGTGTAAGGAATAGTGAATCCGAATGAGCACTCCTTTAGATTTTCCTGAGGTGTGAGCCTTCTCACAGGTCTGCTCAGGATCACCTGGTGCTACCCTGAAAGCTTTTATTTTGTCTTCTGTGCCGTAAGTGGTATTTTCAGACTTTCTCTGTGGCAAATGTTGCTTTACAAGTAAAGCAAAGGTTTGTAAATTTAGATGTTTAGCTCCTGTAAATGTCTTATTGGATACTGTTGGTCAGCAATCTTCATATTTTACTTGAGACTCCCTGGTGAGTTGTCTTTGTTTTACACTTAGAATTCAGGACACAAGCTGTGAAAATGATATGGCTGCAATAAAAGGTATGCCTAACATCAGCGTGGTTGGGAATTCGTTGTATGTAAGAATTTAATGAAAGGACATGAATATTGGACAGATGAAATTAATTTGCATTAGCTGAAACCTAAATTTTACAACCAATTGAAATTTGAAATGTGTGTTAAGGTTGAGCCTACCAGTTACCTTCAGGATGTTTTTCCTTGGGAAAGTAGTTGCTTAATCTGACACTCAGTATGCACTAGATGGCACTATTTAATAGTGGAAGTACCTGTCGTTTGTCCTGGAACTGAGGTTGCTACTATGCAGGGAAAGTTAGTGCTCGAGTAACTATGTTTGAAATACTGGTAAGCTAAACTAGTGCCTTACACAGCATCTGATTATTGCTATGAGTCAATTTGTATATAATAAATGACAAAATACTCAAAACACTTGGTTAGGGATTTTGGTCTGAAATCTAGGAAAAAAAACTTCAGAGCTGAAGCTTAAATCATACAAATTGAACCCGCTAGAAACTAATGTTTTTGAAAGGTTTGAGGACTTCAAACCCTTGTGGCCCTCCTCAGCTCCTGGTCTGAGCAGTGCTGGAAGCAGTTCAGGGACGTGAGGCCAGGGAAAAGGTATCCCTTGGACTCTCTTTTATAGGTTTGCCTGATGAGCAACCTAGATGTAATGATTAAAATGATCTGAGTGGCTGTTTGAGCCCCCTGTCACCTGCAGCCCATGGTGTGAGTGCCCTTTCCCCCCTCCAGAGCAGAACAGTATCTCTGAGGACTCGTGTTGGTGGCTGGGGGATGCAACAGCCTGGTCCTGCAGAGCCAGCATGGTGTGCTCGTTCCAATGGCAGCCTGAGTCATGTCTGAGGCTTACACAGCTGCCAGCACTAAAATGGGTCTTCCAGTAGGTAACGATCTGGAAAGGAGTGGCTAAGGGAAGAGATTCATGAGAAATCTATACCATTCCAAAATCCTTCTTCTATGACACAGGGCTCCTTACAGATCACAGCCATGCAAGAACTAAACCAATGCAGGTCCTTAAACCCTGTAGACATCAACATATACCCTGAGCCACAGACACTTTCACTGTCACCACTTTTCACTGGGTGGTTTTGGCCTAAAATATACCCTGCCTGACTTTAACTTTACTGATCTAACCTGTAAAATGAGGATTTCTCTTTCTTCTTCTTTGATTAGACTGTAAATCTGAGCTATACTCAAGCTTCTTTTCCCCCCCTTTTTTTTTGGCCGGGGCCTCACCACAGCTAGTACTATGAATAATGCTATGTCTTCATAATGTATTATGGTCCCAAAATAACAACAGGCTATTTAGGAAGCTGTGCCCCAGGATAATACCATTGTGTCTTTCACAATCAAGTAGATGTTCATTTGAATAATATTCATGCAGAATAGCAGATTCTGGGGTGTCTAAGTTTAGGTGTTAAGTCCCATATCCCTAAAATCAGGATGACTTTGCAATAGCGTAATGAACAATTCACACACTTAGTGTGAGGGGATGAGGGTGAGGTGCAGTTATTTCATTCGCCCGGTGACACAGAAAAGGATTTGCTGGCTCTGGATTAACAGGTCACATTCATTTGCATGTGTTTCTAAGATCTGAAGCTGGCAGTCCATCTGCATTAGACAAAAGCTCTGGGCTACAAAAGCATTCTCGAGAGCTGGTTTGCAAGAGTTTCTTAAGAGAGGCTAAGATCCATCTTCCTTCTCTCAAAAACTTATTTATTTATTTATTTTTTCACTACGTGGCACAAATGGTTAAGAGATTGAGTTGGAAATGTCTGTGCAGTTTTGCAGGGTATGTTGTAAATGTGTCCAGGGTGATTTTGAATGTGTTTCAGAATGATCTGGGCTCCAAAGTTCATTTCTAAAGAAAGACCCATATTGATAGGTTCAATGGGGTAAGCCTTAGCTGTCTGAGTAAATCTTCTACCAGTGCTTTGACACAAACAGCTGTAGTCATTTCTTTGGTGTTCATAACCGCCATTCTTGATCTTCTCCCAGGTTGTCAGAAACATGGAAAGAAAAACTTTCATCAGAACAACACTAGAGTAAAGATGATAATGCACATTTTTTTTTTTTTGAGTTGGAGAGGGGAAAATATTTGGGGAAAAAGTTTAGTTATCTCAGCTTTTATATTCTTATTCACACTTAAAATATCAATTCCATGCCAATAATCAATTTTTGGAAATTCTCCCCCATTCATCCCTTTCAGAAGTAGAAGACATTGGGGGAGTAAGATTTGTCAGGAAAAAGCATTTATTTCCCTTTTTCTATAAGTACTAGTGCCAAGAGAAAACTTCAGAAAGGAAAACAATCTGTTGAAAAGATAGTGAAGTTTGATTTTTCCACTCTCATTGAGGAAGCTGGGTGTGTCAGGGTGCCAAATTTGTAAAACTTGAGGTTAAAAAAAAAAGAGTTCCACATAGAAAAATCCCATATATTCCAGTAATGGAGGAAAAAAGTGAAGAAAATCCCTAGCTGGGTAACAGGACCTGTATAAAATGGATAGTATTAAAAGAAATACCAATAGGCACAACCGGTAGTAGCCATGTCATTGCCTAAGGTTTGGCTGAGAGCAGAGACACAGCGCTATAGGTGGGACGCTGAGCTAGAGCTCAGGGCTGACAGGCTTATAAAGGGGGGTGGATGGATGCATCTGCAGGGACAGCTCTCTTGCACTGATTAATGTCCTGTGTCTGCCTGTTCAATTGTTTGTGTTGGAAATTGTGGAGGGCTGAGGTTGATACTGTGTTGGGTGAGGGCAAACACCTTCCATGGAGCTGAACTGCCTGGTCACCAGCATTGCTATTTCCCTAGGAGGAGGAAGGATTGGCCTTGATGTAGAACTTTAAAGACTCAAATCATTGTTTATAGTCCATTTCTGGCTTAGCAGTACAGGTTGGCTTCATACATGTGCTTTTAGAAACTGCTAGCATGAATCCCTAAAGCTGTCTTATGTTCCTTTCTCTAAGGATTTAGTTTACTACTAAAGATTTCCACCATTCCACCAACACAATATTTTCCAGTATAACTTTTTTTGCATGACCTATATGTATGTAAATACACATTTGATTTTCTAGCTTTATAAATTCCTATTGTCCAGAAATAATGAGCTCCTGGGTTTCTCTCCCTAATCTCCACTGCTTAACTCTGAGGATGACAGAAGTGATGTGATTTCAAAGTCAAAAGTGAGTGCGGGACCTGCCGACTCATGAGGTTTGTGCTATGAAGGGGGCAGGACAATGGCAGAAAGCCACCACAGCCATTAAAATGCAAATGGAATACCAAAGGTAGGGAGGGCTCAAGCTTTGAAAGCAAGTAACCCAAACATTTTCTTTCCAAACATCTGCAAATTGTTAGTCCATTTTATTTTGAATTAAAAAGTCTTTTTTTTTTCTTTCTTTTTTTTTTTTTTTAAAGCAAGCTGACAGTTTATTTTAATTTTCAGCTGTTACACCTTTCAGATTTGAATTGGACATTGCTCTGTCACCTTTGATGTTGGAGAAACGTACCCCTCCTCTTCAGATATGCATGTACTTGGGCATTTTACCACAGTGTACTGTTTTTCTTCCTTTGGAGGTACCCTTTTATGAGTTTTTATCCCTTCTTATCAAGTCCTTGAGTCTGTCTGTTAACCCTCTTCAGACTTTGGTCCTACAGGAAACACAATTAACTGGATACATAGTCCAGTCCAATGAAGCAGTGTCATGGTTTAAAGCGATGTTGATAAATACTGAAATAAATAAACTTGGGATGTCTGTCTTTGAGCGGAATCATAAAATATTAATAAATAAATGCCAGATGTAAAGCACTCCATCACTGGCATTTTAGTTTTATTATAGTGGTTATTGTTTGTTTAGTGGAATTACTTTATTTTTCTGGAAACTTCAAACTAAACTCATATAAGTATTTTCACCTCTAATCTCTAAAAGCTTTTCAGTAGAAAA